ATTTACAGCTATTAAGACTTTACAGAGTTGGGTTCCCTGACATTACAAGTGGCATTTTAAAAAAATACACAAAAATAATCACATACAGTCAGCTGGCATTTCACACTAACCACTGGAGGAAGTAGTAATACATAGTGTTGGAATTTAAAATACAAGGTCAGCATTAGCTGTGAACAATTCTAAAGGACTGTAGCTCTTTGAAACATATGTAGTGAAAAAAGATTGTAATTCGTTTTTTTTCCTTTTTTTTTTTTGGTACCAGGAATTGAACTCATAACCTCAGGCTTGCCAGGCAGGCACTATGCCATTCAGTTATATCCCTGGCCTTTATTAATTCATATAAAAATCAGAAATAAACAAAAATTAAAAGTATTTAGTGAATTTACTCAAATGAAGTTTAAACGATACAGAAATAAAAAATATTAGACACCTATACACAGTAAAAAGTGAATATAAATTAGCCAATTCCATGATATTTCCAATTAAACATTCAAATACATACCCACCTTTTTATTTATTCAGCAATAACACATACATGTATGACATGAAAATTCTGGAAAAAAATCAGAGATATTAACAATATTCTCATATACAAAAATGGTGTGGAATGTTTTAACAAAAACATTCTACATGAATGTAAACCCCTGACTTGCGCCAGGCACGGTGGTGCACACCTGTAATCCCAGCACTCGGGAGGCTGAGGTAGGATGATCCTTCCAAGTTGAAGACCAGCCTACACAACAAAGGGAGCTCAAAGCCAGCCTGAACTGTGCAGCAAGACCTTGTCTCAAAAAGACAAAAAACACCCCTGACTTAATTCCACTATTTTATCATGCCAGAAGCATTGTTGGTTTTATTTTTTTAAAAGACAATATTGGTATCATATTGTCACACATTGGCTTATTAATAATGAAGGCATTTTGCATATACAGTATCTTAGTGTGTACAAAAAATTTTAATATTGACTATTTACTATGATGTTTTAAACTTTGAAAGTCTCTTCGACATAGGAAAATAGCTGCACTCATTTAGGTGTTTTTCTTTTTTGTCTTTTTGTTGTTTTTTTGTTTGTTTCTCTTTTTCTTTTCGTACTAGGAATCGAACTCAGGACCTTTATTTGCCAGGCAGGCGCTTATGCCACTGAGCTATATCCCTGGCCCTTTTTCGTCTTTTTGAAACAGGGTCTCACTATGCAGTTCTAGTTGACTTTGAGCTCACCTTGTAGCCTAGGCTGGTCTTGAATTTGCAACAATCTTCCTGCCTCAGCCTCCCGAGTGCTGGGATTACAGGTGTATGCCATCAGGCCTACCTCTTTTTTTTCTTTCTTTTTTTTTTTTTTTTTTAATAAAACACACAAAAAAATCCATGATTGGTCTCTTTGGTTCCTAGTAATAAATACTGCCTTATTTTTTCACATGGTATAAATTACCTTCTAATGTAGGACTGCATTAAGACCCAGTAATTCTTAATGTTACTATATAACCATAAGCTCCAAACACAGTAAAGGCTAACAAACAATCTTCACAGTACGCTTTCACCTCACTGAAGTTGAAGCTGCTCCTTTTGAATATTTTTCCACTTCAAAGCAAAGCAGATTGTTAGGGGTTTCACTGGTGGTTTCACTATGTGGATTTTTTTTAAAAAAAGATTTGTTTTGAGGTCAAGGATTTTATGTAAGTGCTTATAAAACAACAGAGAACAATTTATGTTGTTTTATTGATGAAATTCAAAATATAGTAATACCTGTATGTAATTTTTGATAGCATACATCTATTAATGAGAAGAATGGAACTTCAGGGGAGGGACAACACTCAGCACAATTGATGACATTCCTTACCCCAAACTGATTGCAGATGAGCATGTGCAAAATTAGTCTCAGTTCCTGGGCCACACAAAACACTTCGGCGGGCCACATTTACCTTTCCACCCCTACCTCTAAGTACTAAAGTTATCCGAAAAACAAAAACACTAACACCACAAACTTCTTAATCAAGGGTAGGCTCAATCTCCAGTACCACAAAATAATACAAAACAAAACAAAATAAAATGCCTAATTTTTTAATAGTTATTTCTAAAAAGCAACTTGTCCTTTTCTTGACTCCTAAAGACTGAGTACGAACAAAGATTACTAAATGCAGATGAAAAAAATCTTCTTTAAAATTTTGCAATCTAAGAATTCAAGTAACACAGATGAAACTAGGGAAACAGAAAAAAGGGGAAAAAAATATATATATATATACACGCATATATATATATATATACACACGCATATATATAAACTAGGGAAAAAAATAATCAAGATTAAACTGAGGGCAATAAATGAAATGATACTGTGAAGAAGAGGAAAGTTGGGAGTTACTTTATCAAATGGCAAAGCAAAACTAATCCACTAAGATTTCAAAAAATGTATCTTGGGAAATACTGAAGTAAATATTTAGTTTCTAAATTAATCCAGAATATTACTCTGAATAACACCTTCATCTGATTCTAACCATTAATTTAGTTATTTAATTTTGCGACACACTTTCACAATGTGGCCCAACCTGGCTTTCAACTCCACAGCTCAGTGGATGTTCCTGCCTCAGCCTACCAAAGTAGTTGGGACTATAGGTACACAACATTCTGCCTGGCTTCCTAAACATTAATATAAAAACTTGTAACTTCACTCTGCTACTTTTGTAAAGGGTAAGAAAAACCTCACTGTTTTTCAAGTTAGCTCCATATCTCAGTTTCACCAAGGGCCCTATAGCAAAAAATCATTACCTCGAAACAAGTGCCTAACTCCTGCAGTTGCAAACTTAACGAAAATATTTATCCCTTGCACCCAATAATAAATGGAAATATTAAATCCTAGTATTAAATGAAGATTTAAATATTTAAAATATTTTCTCATGAATAATGAAATTAACAATGGTAGTTTTCTAAAAGCTTCATTTTAATTTTGAAAATCTAAAAACCAAACAAAATATATAAACCTAATAAGGGCAGGAATATGCTGCTGACTATAAACATTAAAATATAAAGCACCTTTTTGTTTGCTTGTTTTATACATTTTCAAGAGAGCCCAAAGCACTTGATTAAGTATAGTAATTTTTAAGTATAACATTTCTGGGAGAATGTGGAAGGTCCACTGGTTTTACTCTAAAACTCTGGATCTCCACATTGTAAGCTAAATATTTTGATTTCCATCTCCTTTGTCCTAGTAGTTTAAACAGTGATACAATGGGAACATGCAGTATTTTAGGGTCATGCATGAGAACTGTTTAAGAAATGTCCATTCCCCAACTAGTTGGTGTAAAGAACCTTACTTTACTTCTGTCGTTTTGAGACAGTCTCACTACCCAGGTCAGGCGGCCTTCAGCTCACTTTGTAGTCCAGGCTGGCCTTGAACTCACAAAGATCCTCCTGCCTCAGCCTCCTGAGTGCTAGGATCTTACATTACTTTAGAACCCAAATGTTTTAAAGAAAGTTAAATATTTATTTCCATACTACATTTGGTAAGTAGTACCAAATGCTTTCACATAATTCAGTAAATGTTCACATAAAATTCCTAATTACTACTACTTTTATTTCTAAAACCTTTAAATAAGGTGACTCAAATTTCTAACGTTAAATTATTTTCTTCTTTACTAACACTGCAGTAAGGATCTTACTGTAATGTGAAAGCTTAAAACTGGGACTTAAGAGTCTTGGGTTTCTATCTCAATTTTATAACACTTTCAACTTATAACACTTTTAGTTTATTGCCGAATTTTAACCTCTCTATCGCTCATTTCCTGCTTAACTTACTGCCATACTTTTGATCTAAAATTGCTTCTAATTCTTACATCTTAGAAGATATGAATTATTCTACTTACTCAAGTGGTGAAGAAACTGAGCTTCAGAAAATTTACATTAATTTTCTAAGCATCTGCGGTAATGGGGGCTGAGCCAGAATGTGACCCAGTCTGTATACTAGCTAGAGTCCGCGCAAGCTCTTTGCATTATACCACTTGGTTCTTGTACCGATATAATGTGATCATTGTGCGCTTGAAGAATGAGAAATACAAGTTGGGCATCCAAAATTTGGGGGAAACAAACTGTTTTAGATCTGAAAGGTTCTCAGGTTTTTTGAAATATTTTCATTCACTTCATCGGTGGAGCATCCCTAATCTGAAAATCTGAAATCCAAAATACTCCCAAATTTTTTGAGGGACCAACATGAATACCCAAAAAGTATTGGATCTTGGTGCACTTTGGACTACATGTGCAGGACTACCAGGGAAATAAAAACACACCATGAAAAATACACCCTGACACTATGTGGTCAGTGGCCCTGGAAAGTTTAAAAATCAAGGAGAAAAAGATAATGGCAAATGTGGGGCATATATCACTAATAAACGCAACCTAAAAACAAAAGCAGAATTAAAGCTTCCAGCAGGGGCTGGGGATTTAGCTCAGCGCCTGCCTGGCAAGCGCAAGGTCTTGAGTTCGGTTCCCGGTACCGGAGAAGAAAACAAAACAAAAAAAATAATAAATAAAGCTTCCAGCATACTCTAACCTATACCACGCTCTAAAACATCTAAGCTCAAAATGAAAGGTACTGTGCACTTTAGTCATACGTCCTAATAGGTGCCCTGGTAACACGACTTCAATACATCAATACTTCTGCGACCCTGGGTCTTTCCCAACCACGGCCAATGTGTTCATCTGTGTCCTGGGACAATGCCACACAGATAACGACACGATAATCTTATCGGCCCCTTCCTAGTTACATTTTGATATAACTATTTTTTCCTACTGCTCTTTTCATTTCGATGAACTGCACCCAAAAGCCAGGAACCACACAAACCGCCCATTCATTAAAGTCTCCATCCACTTTGCAACCATTTAACCCCCGAGTAAGAGGACTGCAGGACGTGAACACCGAAGCCTCCAGGAGAACACAGCAGAACGCAAGGCGAGAAGGGAGAGAAAGGACGCTGCCTGCCCCTGGGGGAGGGGACCCCGCCCCCGCTCACCTCGATCTCGCGGATGTTGTTGGAGGTGACGAAGATGCCGATGCCGATGGGGATGAAGATGAGGCCGACGATGAAGAACGTGGGCAGCACGGTGCCCGCCGTGAGGATGGGCTGCCAGGCGGGCAGCCGCTGCTGCTTGAAGGCCGTGTTGTCCGGCCTCCGCGTCTTCGCGG